GTGATAAAACCTGAAAACAAAATTTGTTTGGATTTTAAAACTACTGTTGTGTTTCTGCATAACTAACGAGGATGCTGATAGCAGACTGTAAACACACACACGTAGGTACAATGAGGTACAGTACATGACGGTCTGCTATGCAAAAAGTTGCAGTGCCCCTCATTTAAAATGCAAAAAACTACATGTGGATGTTGCTGAAAGGCCGTGACTTTGCACTTTTTACAGGATGTAGCAGTAACACCGTGTCAGTGTGATTATTCCTGAGGTGTGCCGAACAAAGGGATTGGACAGAGTGTAGGATTTCTGGAGAATTTAGAGCTTCCCACTGTGTTCGGGGACTGTCAGCGAAAAGCACTCAGTGGTATTGCACCTTAAGATACGTCCACATTGGCATCTCAGAGGCGGTTGCTACGTCCATCTTTTTTACAGTCTATGGACAGAACCAGGCCAGCTGTTTCCCCATCTCTTTATGCTAAGCTAACAGACTGTAGCTTCATATTTCTTAATGTACCTTCTCATCTAATGCTATCTCTCCAATAAAGTGAATGAGCATTTTATCCAAAATGTTGAGGTTTCCTTGTTCAATCAATCAGCAATAAGTTTGATTTAAGGTATTTGATATTTTAACAATTATTTAGAGAGACAGAGTTTATTCAGGGGACCCTTTTGTCTGTACAAGTGCCAAAAAGTGATCGTGCTTCCTGTAAAAGCTGATTTGTGCAGTTTTATATAAATACAGAACTGCTTTTATCTAAATCAAGCAGTCATAACATCCAAATGTGGGCGGCTGTGGTTCAGTTGGTAGAGTGGGTTGTCTTTTAATTGCAAGGTTGGTGGTTTGAGCCACAGTTGAAGTGTCCTTGGGCAAGACACTGAACCCAAAGTTGCTCCCAATGGCAGGCAGCACCTTGGATATGGTGTCTCAGATGTACATCAGATTGTAAATAAACATAATTGTATTTCTGCAGTCATGGCAAAAGTGTGTCCTTTATGAAACTTCTGCATTTTCACAGTTTATAGTTTAATCAGGCCTCACATTTAAGATGTACTAATGGAGTATTTTTCCCCCTAATATTTAGGCTATGGTGTGTAATGTCATTTTTATTGAAGAAATCATGTCTTGCAATTATCTTACAAGCTAAGCAGTCACAAAGTAAAGGCTGCACTCATAATTTGGCAAATGTAAAAAAAAAAAAATGCATTATATGACTAGAATAAAGCTTTTTTCAGCAAACATTGGTTACAGACCACAAAGCAGGTTTAAAGAAAAGCAGTGACAAAAAAAATGAGAACAGCCTGCAATCACACCGGCTCGTGGGCTGTGGCGCGCGCGGAGCTGTGATTTCCGAACATTTCCGGCGGGCCGTGAAGGCAGCAGCAGCCCTCTCTCCTCCGCCTGTCCATCCATCGTTCACCGGTTCTGCTGCGAAGCGGACTGACGCCTCATTCTCCTCTTTTCTTCCTCTCACTCAACGTGCATCATTTGAGAGAAAAGAAGAAGGGAAGAAAAGGAAAAAAAACAAAAACGACGCTCGAGACGCAGAAGTTTCTCGGCTCGTCTGGAACCGTTACGCTACGTTCACCGGCGATTTTTCTCCCCGTTTCTTTTATTTTTTTTTGAAAAAAGAAAAACCTCTCGTCCCTCTACTTTACTATATTTCTCCCCTCTTCCAACCCCGAGGACCCAGTCTGGTTGTACTGGCTAACACTGGGCGTAGCTGAAGAGGATTTCTTGCTAGCTCGCCGCTGCGTTGACGGGTAAGATTGTTTTAGCTTTAGCTAGCGTGCTAGCGTCAGTTACTGACAGTTAACTGCTAATTAACGAGTCTCTCTTTCATGTAGTTACCGTTGGACTACTTTCCTCATTTTTAGCACAAAGCAGGGCATTGGGTTTCTTTTTTTATGTGGGTTAATATATCTGTTTTCAGGTTAAAAAAAATGTATAAAAGGTTTTAAGTGTCACCTCATCTTTTTGTGTGTGTGTGTGTCGATGAGCCGCTTGTTTGATTAGGAGGAGCTGATGGGGCGGTGGCAGGCGGCGTGGTGGCTGGAAGTGCCCCCACAGACCTGTTAGCCCTAACCCTAAAGCAGCCTAACCCATTTCAACGTGTGCTCCTGCTCATTTAGACAACGCTTTCCCTCTTTGTGTGGCCATTTTGTCGCCTTTTTCCCCCCTAAACTTTTTTTCCCCTCATCTGCCCTCCTTCTCCATCCTCCGTCGCGGATGCCCATTGTTCTGTGATGGGCCAAGTGGCGTGAGGAATTGTTCCGGTCGCCTCAGGAGGAGAAGAAGAAGAAGAAGAAGAAGAAGAAGCAGCAGCCGGGTTTTTTTTTTTTTTGTTTCTGCTCATAAATTAGCAGTTTTCATTTTAACTCAACAGGATAACTTTGAAGGGGGGGTATTTGTAGCGTTTTCACCCCCTCTTCCCCTCTTTTCCAGATGCTGGAGGGAGTGTGTGAAGCCTAAATATCTCTCAGAGAGTTTTGCTCAGTGTGAAGCTGGCATGTAATCAGAGGTGATTAATGTCACCCCCCCAAAAGTGATCAGCTATTGTGGTTGTGGGGCTGCTCCCTCGCTTTTTGGTTGAGTTAGTGCAGCAAGACAGATTACGCTCCCCTCAGTAGAACAATGGAGAGGAGAGAACACTGCCAGTTCCCAAAGCCTGGCCAGAAGCATTTAATAAACTGCAAACATGCAAGCATTGAAAATCTTTATCCGTAGCCCACAACTCTATTCTCTTCCCCCCCCCCTGAGGTGGTGCAGACAGCGACATAAATTGTCTCAAGCATTGTGGCCATCGTGGGCAGGGGCCGGTCAATAATGTGAGCTGATCGACCACGATGTATTGATGTCATCCCCAGTAAATGGCATCCCAGGGCAACTAATATGAGCACTTTTAAAGCTCGGCCACGCAGGGGCTTGGAGACACTCCAGGACTCTTAAGTCAGAGGTGGGCTGAAGCCATCAGCGAGTCCGCCCCCCTCCGGTGCATGGATGAGAGAATGGCTGACTCACAGTGTTGGTGGATGAGGCAGGGAAATGGAGGACAGACAGGCGGCCTAATGCAATCGTGAAATTAAATTTGGCTGCTGTTAAAAACGGCAGTCTGTTTTTTTTTCTTTTTTTTTATGAAGTTATTTAAGATGGTTTTAGAAAGATTATTAGGTGGAGGATGCGGATTACAGCCCGGAGGCATTCTGTGTGGGAAGAGGATTTGTCAGGAACTAAACTTGAATGAAGCAGATGATTGTGTTTCTGGAAAATAAATATATATATATATAGAAAGAAAAATTGGATACAGTAATCTCCTTTTCACTGTGGAGTGTGAAAAATTACAAAAATCGGCTGGAGTAAGCTCCTTTTCATTGTGCTGAAGACTCTTTTCTTTCTTGTTGTCAGTGTGATTTTATTAGTGTGTATCACTCTGCCTCTTGTCACTGTGTTGGAGGAGCTGGAATTAAGGGTGTGGGTGTCTACAGCGTTAGTTACCCCAGCGCACTAAGAAAGAGAGCACATGGCCGGTGTCTGAAACAGTCATCCACACGCAGAATGAACATACCATCAAAAAATAATTAAATCAAATGATTAAATCAATCAATAAGTTTCTGCAGATTAATCATCGATCGTGATCAATGATGCTTAAAGTCATAATATCTGATATTATTGAAAACGAGATGCTATTCTCATGTTAAGACATCAGCTCAGCCTCTGGTTAGTCTGTGTTTTTCAGTATGTCCAACATTTATCGTTGTTAGTGATGTATTATTTTAATTAGATTTTAAATACTCTACTTAAAAAATATTCTGCAGCCCTTCTTAAACTATATAATCAGCCATTTTTCCAGGCAAAAATGCCAATCGTTTACCAATTTAAGCTTCTCAAATTGCTGTTTTTAGTTTAAATATAGGTCATGATAGAAAATGAAATGTCTTTGGGTCTTGGATGGTTGGTTGGATAAAAAAAAGACTGATTTTTTTCACCTTGGGCTCTTTGAAATTCTATTTCTTTTTTAATTATTTTCTGTCATTTCATTGAGAGGAAATGGTTTTGCCTCTTCTGCTGCAGCTGCTCTGAGGATTGCTCTCACTGTTATTACATGCAATGTATTTCATAAGCTTGTATATTAGGACAATTTAAATTTTAATCATCTATTTTGCCCCAAGCGGGGCTCTTGACCCGTGCCTCGGACAGTCATCTCCGAGGCACGGGTCGAGAGGGGGGGGCTATGATTGTTGCATTAATAGACTTATGTGTCAGCTTGCCCTTAGCCTAAGGACTGGTGTCGGTGGGTGTGTGACTCAGAATGAAATCCCCCAGCTCTGAACTTCTCAATAGTGACAAGGGCAAGCCTGTGCCTCTGGTCATCAAGCTTTTTTCAGCCTCAACCCGTGCTCCTTGCACTTCTTGGCGTCATTAAAAATTACAGCCATCCTCTGTGGCTGTGTTTTAATCCATGGCAACAACCGCACAATAGTTTCTTGTTTTGAGATTATCAAAACACCAACAGAAACAGTATGTTAGGCTCAATTTCCTTCTGTTTTCTGGGCGATTGAGACTTGAGGAAACAGCCACTGGGTTAAACTGATTTTGCACAGTGAAGATAAAGCAGAGATAAACTTTGCCTGCGCGCTTATTTATGATAGGAGCCTCAGTTGGTGGTGTCACAGTTGTCAGGGCATGCAGTTGGCAACTGGCGGTGCGGTTTCGAGGCCGTATTTGCCAGCAGCTGCAGTAATTTGCTGTGTTTGGACGTTCTGAATTCCTGCAGTGGGAGGATGTATAATGGGCAAGGTTCACGGCCCTGGTGCTTGGCTTTAAGACCAAAATGTTCACAATGTGTTGGTGGTGGTGCCTTGTTGTTCTGTACAATGCAGTCTTGGAGATTCTGAAAACAGACCCAAAACATTACTGTTGTGGTGTCAGTCATGAGGTCTGCTCTGACACTTACACATCAAACACAGTGGTGTCAATGGAGCCGTCTTCACATCAGTATGGCTGTATGTTTTCCTTGTGGCTGATGCGGTTGGTAGATTATGTCAGAGGCTGCCACACCAGAGCCACGTGTGGAATGAAAGGCATTTCAGCCAGACATTGGTGCTGACAGAATGATAAACTCCCTTTACTATAAGCAACTGGTGGGGCCAAATTATGTCTTAGTCATATCAGTTTCACATGTTGATAGTCAGATCTCGCTTTGACTGTTTCATTGTGTTTAGTGTGCTGCTGCAAAGATATATCATCAGCCTCCTTTGAACTGCCAAATGTATGCCTCTGCGGTTGTGGATGTGGTAAAAGACGAGTTTGTTGCATTTCGTGGGCAGATGTTGTGGTGATGTTTCAATGCCAGATGTCTGGTTCGAGGTTTAGTTCTTAGAAAGCTGTAGCGAGTATTTGCTGATCTGGTCGACCATCCAACCTGTCTGCCATCCTGCGAGAGATCAGATTCCATCTGGAACGTGCCTTGTTCCACTTCAAACAGGAGAACATAATCCTCTTATGGACGCAGTCGTTCCACTTGTACTTTGCATGTGAGCGACCGTGGCCTCGTACAAAATCTCGAGAGAGAACTGGAGCTTCTCGGGCGTGTTTCTGCCATCCTGTCCAGATGCCTCGGTTCTGTCCTCTTCCTCCAGCTCTGTATCTGCTCTATCTTGTGTCATTGATCCAAGCCACCAGCTGGTCCTGGGCTGGCCTGATCTCATTTACCCCCAGAGAGGAGCTTGTTTGTGGGCAGACGGCCCATTATGGAGATGATCCAGCAGCTCTTCAAGTTACAAATTAGCCTTAGTTTCTCTGTTGGGTCCTCTGTCTTCCTTCTTGTCTTGCTGTTCCTCGCCGGTTATCCCTGTCCCTGTCCCTTTTTACCCAGCCCCCCCTTTTTTTTCATTATCCTCTCCTAAAAACATGTCACGACTATCTCTTATATCTCCCAGGGGAGGCAGCTAACAGCATCAGAGGAACCTGCCTTACTAATGCACTTCCTCTGTCTGCCTCTGTCTTTTTCTCTGCTGCCCTGGCCATCTGTGGAGCTGCATGCCTGGCTCCCCACTTTCCCCCATGCGATCAATATCCACACAGTTGAGCTCAGCGCTGCCCTGCCGGTCGTCCCTGCAGGCGGTGGAGCTCAGCCAGGCAGTAGTAGGGCCCTCGCCGTTGGGGCCTTGTTTGTTGTTGGGCTCTGTCTCTCCCCTTATTGTTTCGGGGCTGATAGACCCTCTAGCCCTGCCTCCCCACAGTATTGTCTAGTTTCTGGGACATACTGAGGCCTCTGTTACTGCTACATATTCCTCCCTTGTTCTTTCTTGTCTTTCTTCCTCTCTCTCTCTCTCTCTCTGTCTGTGTACTGTTTGAGGACAGTCGAGGCCGACTGTACAAGATTAGCGTCTCTCTTTGTCCAGGGTTAACAGGCTCTGTCATGTGTTAATCTGTCCGTCCCCGGGGGGCCGAGTTTCTCCGAGCCTGGGCGCACCATGGGAAGGACAGGGTTCGAATGTTTGCATGTTTATGTTATGTGCGTCAGTGTTGGTGTTTGTATGCAGGAAGGGGGGGAAGGTATCAACCCACAGACCTACGATGTATAGGGCCTGAATCTGTAGCGGGCGTTGGCATCCTCGACCCTTTGCGGCAGTCGCAATTGTCTTTACGCTGATTTGTTTTTTGTTTTATTGCAACAGGAAGCTTAATTAAAGAGTGCTTTTATACAGTGTTGCCAGCCACTAATATCGGTTGAATTACCACTTGAGGACACCGTTAAATC